GACTATTGTAAAACCTACCACAGAGTGTTACGCAATGCAGGTGCAGGTCCATCACATCACCCAGGTGAGTTTCATCTCCTGACTTGTCTGATGCCGAAGACGTTTCTCATCTTCTTCCATGTCTTTAAAAGCCGATCCTGAGATTACCGGAATCCTGTGCGATGCCAGGTTTTTCCACTACGACCCTGATTCCACCGGCTGAAGATCAAATACAGGAGTGGACGATTAGGTTACACACAAGTTCCTCATCGCGTTGGAGTGTTCAGTCAGATCGTCTGGACGTTGAAAATGTATGACTCAACTTCTTGGAGTCTCCCAAGGTACTAGATTTCTCCGGTCCGTGAACCTATCGCTGCCCCAGTGTCCCTTCTCCACTATCCCCTGTGTTGTCCTCTTCCTCGTGACCATCTAAGTCCTTTCGGCCATCGTACTTCTCCTTCTCTCCTTCACTTTTGTCCGTCTCGTTGTCCTCTGCACCTCTTGCGTCATCCTCTTGTTCCCCTCTCTCTGTCTCCTCTTCTGCCTCGCTTGTCCTCATCCTCGGCCCCTTCCTTTTCCTGTCTCGTAGAGCACAGGGCAGGCAGTTTGCCAGGAAGAGGACAGTGGACAGACAGAGTAGAGAGAGGACAGCGGCCACGACGGCCTCCAACTCTGTCTCGGCGTCTTCCTCATCTTCCTCATCCTCATCCTCTTCTTTCTGTCCTCTGTTCTCCAGGCTTGGTGAGAAGTACACAAAACTCTCTTCCTGGTTTGGTGATGAGACAAATGTCTCCTGATGGTTCTGACTGACCATTCCCCTCTTATCCACCTTGGTCCACTTCTGACTGGCCGTCGACGTCGTTACGTCAACGTCATATTGGCTGATGTTTCCGTTGTTTTCTTCCTCGAAGATATTTCCCTCGGACTCCATAAGCATATCTGAAATGTCAAACTCAAACTCCTCACCCTTGTCCGTTGGCCGCAGGAAGTCCAGGTCCAGATTGACTCTCACCCAACCAGAGCCCTGGGCCAGCCTCATTGTTAGCCTCCTCACTCCTCTTCCTCTCTGTTCTTCTTCTTCTTCTGGATCGATCCAATCATTGACACTCTCTACGATGAAGTTAGATGTGATTGGCTGCTCAGTACAGGTGGAAACCAGCACTTCTGCCCTCAGCAAAGGTCCACCGCCATCGCCTTGGGCAAAGACATGCTGGTCAGGGCCAGGTGTCACCCCCACCACTGACTCGGCCAATGAGGAGAGACGCAGGAGGTAAGAAAGGTCACCGAAAGTGGAGAGGAGGGTGGCTGTGTCGTCGCTGAACTGGAGCCACACACTGACAGACGCCTCCTGCAGGATACAGGAGGATTTCAAACTTCAGTGTGAAATAATGACTGACATGATCTGCCTGCCGAGTTTCAGTGGCCCGTCACGCACCTGCTGGTGGTCATACAGGACATTGAAGGCTGTCACTGTTGTCGTGACGACGGACGGGTGGACAGAGTTTCCAGAGACTGTCATTCCCAGGCCGCCGACCACCTGCACGGACAGGTCTGCTGGAGAGACTGCGTCTGTGGTCACGGTGATGTCACACTTGCCCAACACACCGTCCCATTGCTCTGACACAATCTAAGAGAAAGGGATCAGATCAGAGGAGGGTTTTCAGCTACAGCGGTCCCTCTCCTACCGCTGTAGTTCCGTTTCCAAGACCCACCGCGAAAAGGGAAAATCCCACAAAGTAGGGGTGAGATGGTTTTTATATTATTTCTGTAGATATTTACCCTTTACAAACCTCCCCCATACTGCTACTGCATACCCTTTCCCACACATCAGAGTTGTATAATGGAAATATAAGACATATATGTTACATAAATAAATTAAATACAGGATGCAGCAAAGTTTAGCGCTCAGCTGCAGGAGGGAGAGCACGGGAGTGGCGACGCCGGTGCAGCTCCAGCTGCCTCCTCATATTAGTAGGGGGAGGTTATAAAATGTTTTTTTATCACAAAAATAATGGAAAATATTGGATTTTTTTTTTAAGAATTACCATAAAATAATTATTAAAATTAAAAGAAAAATCTGCGATGTACTGAGGGAGTGAAAGGAGAACCGCCATATAGAGAGGGAGCACTGTACTTCTATCTCAGGTTTATACATGTTTCTCACTTTTGGGGAACACTAACACTTGGTTGCGTTTCGTTAAGCTAGACCTTTTTCACTCGTACACTGCTTTTTAAACCTATTTTGACTTCGATCCCATGTGTGTTTCTATAAAGCTCAATTATTTTCAGACTCTTATTTACTAGTTCCGTTAGGTCACCCACATAGAGTGATGTCTTCCCCGGCCGTAAACCGATGACATTGTCCTGGGCATCGAAGGCGGCCACCATCGGGTCATCTATTCTAATCCAATCCCTGACCAGCGGTGTCACGTCCACAAACCAATCAAATGATTGTAACAGGTAAACCGTTCTCCTGCGGGAGTCCTGAGCCGTAAACTGAGCCAAAACCTGAACCGTGGCGCGCTGATACACCGGCTCACACCTGAGGATACAACACACATGTGACAGCACATCGCTAACCGAATGTTTTCTTCGTAAAAGGCAAAAAAAAAAGAGAGAGGCCATAATTGTTTTTTCATACCTGTTCTCTTTGATTTGATTCCAGCCGCTGATGGCGTTAAGTATGGGGTCTGACAAGGACACACGCAGAGGTAAAGATGGGGCCCACACCTCCAGACACACTGACCCACTGAGCTTACCAAGGAGAAACTCCACCACTGCACAAGTGCTGCCCAGCCCTGACTCACTGCCATCCACAAAGATGGTGGAACAGTCAGGAGACACCTAAAGAGAATGGGGACACAGTACCAGCCAACAGGCGTCACATATACAGTGTTATATTGGTCTTGATGGTAAGGAATTAATGTCCATTATTGGGTTGTAGTACCTGATTTAAACACCAGAGGAAGAAGTTTCCCTTTTTTTTTAACATGAGAAAATGCTAAGATTCCCATATGGTCTAGCGGTTAGGATTCTTGGTTTTCACCCAGGCGGCCCGGGTTCGACTCCCGGTATGGGAATGATCTTTCTTTGATTTCCCTATCTTTTACATAGCATTTATATTACTTGCAGCTCAAATATGAAGCAAGGAAGTTGCAGTTAGTCAAAACATATGAGGTGTTTTTTAAAGATCATTGATTTCAATGTCATGTGTCGCTGCTGGTGGCGCTTTGGCCCAGAGGTAATGTCTCTGTCAGTGGTGTGGAACTCCAGGGTTCGAATCCCGGTTAGGGCGGTTAATACCTTCCAGTGGACTCACCACCTGCAGGAAGGTTTGGGTGGCGACTGCTGCCCCTACGACCCGGTAACGGATAAGTGGATGAAAATGGATGGATGGATGGATGGTTGGATGGTGTTGCTGGTGTTATAATGTCATTTGTACCTTGACCATGTTGTGGTTGGTTGAGTGACACGTGACTGCAGAGGTGACATCTGACACACTTCCGCCGTGGCCCACGGCCAGCACAGTCACAGTAAGTGACACAGGCTGGTTGGTCAGAATGGCAGTGTTGATGATCCTGTTGTCCTAAAAATGTAAAAAAATACACTAAGAATTATTCAAGGTTTTACTATATTCAAGGTTTTACTTTGCCCAAATGGTCATAACTCCATCCATTTCTAACGTACAGCCCATTCGTTTACCTCTGCGATGGGTGCGATGCCATACAAGTGTCGATCAGTGAAGGAGAAGAAACTCACTCCTGCCCCACGTGGTCCAGAGGGCTTACTTTGTCCAGAGTACTCTACCCACCAGTGAGCAGATACCGTCATGGCAACAGTGAAACTATGCTTTAGGCCTTCCAACGTCAGACACACCACCTGCTGGAGGAGAGTAGGACTGCAGGTCCCCACAAAAGGAGAAAAAAATGACAAAAATGTGCAATACAAATTATGTCCGTGGTGTTAGCCCAGACATGGGCAAACTAAGGCCCGGGGGCTGGATGCGGTCCGTTCATCTTTGTAATCGGGCCTGCCAAACTTGTGCAAATTATATAATTGGTTAGCGGCCCACCTAACTTGTGCAAATTATATAATTGGTTAGTACAGTGATTATACTTCTGTCTTTTCTCTGCAATGCCCACGTTTTGCCTATAACTGGCGTAGAGAAGGCTAAAGGCATTTTAGCATTTTAGACTTTTACATGTCATATATCTTAGTTCAACACGAACACTGCATCTATCTGCTCCTGACCGGCCCCACCTGTCAAATTTTAGGACGGATTTTGGCCCGTGAGACGAAAAGTTTGCTCACGCCTGGGTTAGCCTCATCTGCATAAAGTCAGCTAACATAAAGGTAGTGGGTATTTATTAAAGTAGGGGAGTATTTAACTGCCTACTTGTGGGCTTGTTTGACAAGACTCTGTTTGTGGCAGACGATGGACACCACATCATGCCTGGAGCCTTGATTTCTCTCCACGGTAACTGTCCACACGTCTGACTGCAGCATTCGCTCCGCAATCATCGATACCAAACCCTTCTTCACTCTCAGCCTGTGGAAACAAACAAACAAGCCACGTATTGACAGTGTTTGAAGGTGAAATCGAATGGAGAATTGTATCATTTACTTACTTTATGATAACGAACTCTGAGCTGAAGTTGGACCGCAGATTTACGGACACCCTGACGGGCTGTCCGATCAAGACTGGACCCCTGAGATAACGAATCACAACATGGGAGTCTAAACTAAGCTCCTCCTCCTCATGCTGCCTAACCCTGTTTAAGCAAACTTCCTTTATGGCGCTGCTCCTCTTTCCTGTGTGTTCCTCCTCCTCCTCCTCTTCCTCCTCCTCCTCTTCCTCCTTCAAAGCTACTGCTTTAAGATAGAAGAGCTGTCTCTGGGACTGAGTATCTTTGTCCTCCACACATCTGGAAAAGAGGAATGTCTCAATAGATGCAAGAAAAAAATGTATATCTGCAATTATGTGTCATCAATACATTACACGCAGTCCATACGTACCCTGGTGATATTATCTTCAGGTTAAGTGATGCCTCAAAGTAGGAGTAGTACAGCTGTATATGGTTTCTTACGTGGCCTTTTGTGTTCCTTAATGCTTCAGGAACGTCACCCTGGTTAACCCCAAGATGGTGTCTGAAAGGACACAAAAGATATGCAAGGAGTACATGTAAGCTAGTATTTATACACCTTTTGTAAAATTGTGACTTCAAACTGCCAAACAGGTTTCAATTTGTGTCTCAAAGGTGACACTTGTCATGTCATGCAGGGTTACTGTCAAGTTCAGCAAGGGCATATCCCGAGAAACTTAGGCTCCCCTGCAACTATCGTATGTGAATGAACACCAGAAGATATCGAGCCCGTAAGCTGCGGAAATCAATGTCCAATGGCGGACAAACCTGCTGGAAGGGTGTCCCCCTGAACGCCACCTGCGTCTCTGGAGACGGCTGCGAAGGCGAACACTGTTGTGTGACTTGATGTGCAATTCTTGATGTGACCTGTTCCTGTGCCGATCCATGAACCAGCTGCCCGGCAGCATTAGAGTGACCACACAGAGACCCAAAGGAGGCTGAGAAACAAAAATCACAAGACTGTATATATCAAATGATATTCCAGTTTGGATAAGTCCTCTTATTGGATGAACTCTGTTAACTCTTCTTCTCACCTGTGTTATACAGGATGCCTTTTGTTCCTCGGTCTCTCTGAAGGCGTGCAGAGTGACACAAGTCCGTTGGGTGCTGGAGTCACCCATCTGGTGAAACAGCATCCTCAGCCTAAACCTCTGTTGTCCGTCCTCACCCATCTCTCTCTGCACATGCTCTGACAAAAGGTAAGTGGATATAGTGGGAGACAGCGGGAGGACAGCCTTGGGTATTTGCTGTGGAAAAAAATAGAGATGCATAAAAGTTACGAACCTCGTATGGATGTACCTCTACCTTAAGATACCAACAAACCTCACCTGTGATCGTTCTTCTTACCTGTGACACCGAGTAAGGGCCATATGAAGCTTGAAGGCTCGCGCTGGGACCCCAACCACCCGGAGGAGGGACCATGAAGAGGCTTCTTGAGAAGGAAAATGGGCTGGAGTTGGAGAAGTTAGGACTCAGGTTCTCCTGGGACACAGGTAGGAACTTCCAAGGAGGAGGAGGGATGATGGACATATGGACAGGCAAGGACAGAGGGAGAGGAGGCTGCGGAAGGGACAGGGGGACTGAGGAGAAAAAAACAGAAAAGGAGTATAAAAGGAGAAGAATGAGTGAGCCTTACAGTTAAATACTTCAGAGAATCTGCAATGACGTAGACGTAACCGCCAACCATAACTGTATTTTTGGTTCAAAATCCAAACCAGTCCAGAAATGGATACGATGTGTTTCAAATTTGGCTTAGCTGTGCGCTACATTTGGAAAGAACAGGTATCAACCTCAAGTTGCCCATAATTCATAGCAATATTGGATTCAAATGATCTTTTTGCCATGAGGGTTTCACCAAAATTGAGTAGCACATTTAAAACAACAAATCTATCCGGTCTTTGTAATGCACTAAACAAGGCAGTGTAATCAACATATTTGAAATATATACCGTTTGCATATAATTGGCAAATCATTTTAATTGAACAGTTTTCATTGATCACCATCAGACGACCTTTGACGATCACATTTTGGTTTAAAAAAAAAAAAAACAACAAAACTCACATGTGATGAAAAACCAAACGACCAACAGCAGTAGCATCCTCTTCTTTTTTCCCCTAGAGTTTAACACATCAGCTGACACACGACATCGCTCATGACCTGATGATATATCACAACAACACGATAATATGTTCATCATATGTTGCTGTTTGAGGCTGTAGCGAAATATAAATGCCAAGCATCACATGTCTGATTAAACATATAACAGCTAAACACATTACAGCATGACTTCTTCTTCTTTTTCTTTCGGCTTTGTCATCAGGAAGGGCAGCCGGCGTAAAACTTTTAGCCAAATCAAATATGCGACATCACAGCATGACATGTATGCTAAATACTATTAATCATTTTTATGAAAGTAAATCTTCTTACCTGATGGCAATGTCAGTTATATTCAGTTTCTGATGTAAAAACTAATATTAGAAAAAAAAAAAAAAAAAATGCTAAAAAGCATAATTATCTACATTTCTCACTTAGTCATTTAATTAAATATAATATTATATTATTTATATATATTTAAATAAATAAAAAACTGTAATGTGTTCCCTGCTTTCTCTGTGTTCTAGTCTTCCTTGCCTCTGTTGCTGCTACTGCTACTGCTTCTGCTGTTGCTGCTACTGATGATGATGATGATGATGATGATGATGAAGTTGATGCTATACACATCCACTCTCTCTCCCTCTTTGCTCCTCCTCATTTGTCAGTCACACAATAAGGATTGTGGCTTGAATCTGTAAATAATCCTTCCTCTTCCTCTCTCTTTCATTTCCTTTTCTTCACAATTTTATCTTCATTCTAGTTTAGCTTCTTCCTTAATCCTATCCCGTCCCATGCGGACGGGCAATGACACTCCAAAATGAGTAACATGATAGTGAATATTTAATATAAAATAATATATTTCAATTGTGTATCTTCCATTGAAATAAAGAAATTAATTGGGTCCAAATAATCGAATGTAAAAAAGTTCTGAAGTGAATTTAGCAAAAGGTCAGATTTTATCTCAATAACTAATGGAGCTGTGCACAAGTTACAGTGAATATGTTTTAACTACAGTTTTAATCATTAACTCAAACTGCTCTTTTGATGTCGTGATTTTCGTCTTTTGATAAATATGTCACATGTTCCTCCGTATTTCTCTTTATACGACCCCGTGTGTTTCTGTGCCAATTAATCCCTCCTAGATAATCTGTGGCTGTCATCTGTCATTGTTTTCTGTGGATAGGACATTTGCAATGAGGCCAGATTATCTTCTCACAGCACAACCTGAAACAGCAATACACCCACTCACACACACGCACAACCAACAAGAGAGAGAGAGTGAGCAACGTAGTGAGCGTTTGCAAAAGTAAAGCCCTTGAAGTAACAGTCAGCCGCTGTACCATTAGTAGAGTTCACTAAATACAGATTTGTTTACATGAAAATCTACGGCGTGTGAAAATGGAGATTCTTTCAGATATTCAGAGCAAAATAGATTGCATTGTATTGTATTTTTGTGGACAGGTTAACTGACCCAGGATATCTGAGAGAGGGCAGAACCGTATACAAATCCTATCTATAATAAAAGAAAAAAAAAAGGAAAGCACGAATATCAAATTTTGTTCGATATATGGCTACTATTTTAGTCAGGCAGAGCCACGGACAGTAATGTATTGTTTGGGGTCCTTCGGCTCTGCGGTTAGCGGCTAATGATGTAAACAAATAGATGGTTGTCATGTTGGNNNAGGGATAACTACTTTTAAAAACTACAATTGTCTAAACGAAGCAATCGTTATGTCCGCCGCCTTTTTTTTTTTTATTTTTTCTACTGCCACCGCTAATTGACCATCGATTAACTGCATTTGTTATTTGCGATTGTTATTATTATTTTACTGATGAGCTGCTGCTTGCTACACTAAAGGTGAGGTTATTTTTGTAATTAATTAATTTATTTATTTATTTATTATTAAGGCTACAAATTATGGATTTCTTATTTCTACGAAGTGATTTCTCCGCATCTGTGAACTCTGGTTAACTCGGGTATTTTATTTTTTATTTTTTTTATTTTTTGTAACCATAACTGGGTGTTGGTTTGTTTCTTTTCACATGCACTTAAAATCGAAATAAATATTGTTATTCATGGGTTGGTAGCATGCCTGGTCTGCTTTTTGGCACCCTGTTTTTACGTTTGGTTTGGGCAATGATAGCCAAAGATTCTCACATGTTTATTTGGGTTACTTAAAAATATGGGGTGGGGACCAACATGACCTTAAAGGTCACTTAAACCTGTTCAAGAGCCACGGTTTGTCCCGTTGCCAGATTTTAGACATAACTAGGAAGACAGTGAGACAATAAAAAAAAAAAAAAAGATGATCTATAAACTTCTCGAGAGACCTACAAGGGAGTGAAAAAGGGGGGAAAGATATACAGGTCAGGACAGAAATAACACAAACAGGATGTTGGTGTCAACGGCAGAGGAAACCACATCTCTGCACTGACTAACCACCTTCGTCTCCCTCTCATCCTTCTCTCTTTCAGTCTTCTCCAAAATGTTCCACTCACCTGTTTCATAAACAACAAATCATGTTGCATTTAACAGATATCACTTTATTTAATTGAAAAAACACAATATGTATATATACTTAACCGATGAAAGGAAATGTAAGTTTTCAATGTCTTCTGTGGTTAAGGATATACGTATATATATATATATATATATCTTTTCACAAACAGTACATACTGTAGCTGTTTGTGCACTTTAGCCTATTCTTTAGCCTACTTTTGTATTTGTTAAAATACATTTTTTTTCTTTGTGATGCCACGACGTTTCAGTTATGTCAAAGAGAATTTCAAACACAAATGTCTTTCAATGACACTTGAGCTTTTAAAGGCAGCCATCGCTCTAGTATTCTGTCGCGTAAAAGTCACTAATTTTGTTATGGAAATGGATGCATTCTTAACTAAAATTAGAATTGAGCTTTACAAAATGCATTTAACGGTGAAGAAAAGTTAAACCCATTTCTTAAAAAATGTCACAACGTCCATTCAATCTTTTCTAGATTTTTTTTTTTTGGTGAAGTTGCTATAGTCTGCTTTTTGGCTTATTTCCCTCTTATTTCTCTGCCGACAGTCATGTTTTCACTTGAGAGGGAGTGTTTCATTCTCCTGTGTGGGCCGTTGAAAACGGCACAGGCTGGGTGATGATGAAGATGGTGAAAAAGATCAGTAGTTGTAGTCACTGTTTCTGTTGGATGAAGGTTCTCTGCTGTCACCGACCGTAAGCCGTTCCAGAGCTGGTTTCAAAACACACACACACACACACACACGACGGCTTTAGTTTCATTCTTTGTCTGTTCGTGTGCGTGCGTGCGTGTGTGTGTGTGTGTTACCAGGGTAGGAGTGTCTCTGCTCCTTGTCGTTGGTCTTGACTGCAGTTTTTCCCCGATGGTAAGACACTGAGACACAATGAGACAAGGGGCAATAGTGAAATAATACGGCTGAAAGAAAATGAATAGTAGTGCATTGATCCATACATAGTGTGTTGTCACTGATCTGTGATGCGCGTTATCAGGAAGCTGATAACACAATACGGAATAAAACGTTAAAGTTTTCGCAAACAAATCTGAAACATGGCTAGAAAGAGATTTGCCAAAGGCAGAAAAACCCACCAAAACAAGAGTAAATTTTCCTTAATGTATCATAAAATGTGTGTAAAGTGTGTATGTTTTCGTGCGTGTGTATCTGTTGAAAAAGACTCACCACTGTGACTCTGAGTTGGTCCAATCCAACGATCCTGCCTCTTGTCCGACACTGGAGGGGAGGGGGGGGGTCGAGTTAAGTCAGTTTACTTATGGTAGTAACCATCAAAGGTCTGCATGAGCTGCGCCTCGTGTTGATTCAAAGTGATTCACTTAGTAACGTAGTCGGTTTAGTGGACGGATTTCATTGGTACTTCACAGTATGTGTCCGTATACTGTATGTACAGTGACAAAACGTACCGTTCTCCTTCATTAGATTTAATGACACTCAGTACGTTATTATGACATTTCATTGTCCAAAAGTAGTTCATTTCAGTTTAATTATTTCACCTTATTTCTATTTAATGTATGTTATTTTTTCGGACTTTAAATCCAATTCAATTCAAACCATGACAATAAACATCACTCTAAAAGAAGAGCAAAACATATTTTTATTAATTAATTTAATTCAATTAAAAATGCATAGAATTGCTTGTAACCATATTTAAGTAATTGTTTTTATTCATTCATTTTTTTCCATAAACAGACTAACCGGGCGGAGGGTGGTAAACAGTCACTGGCAGAGCTGGAGTACGAATGAAAACGAATTGAATCGCAAGATTTCCTCTTAAATCCATAAACAGACTAACGTAAGTACGAATGAAAACGATTGAATCGCAAGATTTCCTCTTAAATCTTGGATTAGATCCTCCTTAATCTAACCAGTCTTAATCTGAAAAATATGAGTTTTCAAATCTCTGTGTGTGTGTGTGCGCGCGCGCGTGTGTGCGTGTGTACACTTACGGTCATTGATAATAGCTCTGACTGTAGGTCTGGTGAAACGCAGCAGAAGCAGCAGCAGCAGCACACAGCACAGCAGAGCCATCAAGGTTTTGTAGACACGAAGCTGCTGCTGGACTTCCGAGAGGACGTCCTCTGTCTCCACTGAGACACAAACACATATTACAATATTGCATTGTATAATATAGTGTGAAAATAAAATGATATGATTAAATATATGAACCTCATATCTGGTGAAGCCCGTGTAACGTAGTACACTAAAAACTTTGGTCATTGATAATAATAATTTACCATTTCATCTCTCGAAACCCATTCCTAATAGGCTTTCACTTTCATTTTAGATCAGTACTTCTGAAATAGTGGGGCAAGCCCCACAATATGGCATGCTGGACATCAGTGTACCACTGTTGTAATGATTGAATGATAACAAGCCTCCAGTCACTAGGTGGCAGCAACTCATACAGTGGTTTGTACAGATAAAAATATACATTATCAGATTTACATTTACAGACCTACTCACACGGAATTAAATTCACAGTTGGCCAATAACCGTCCTTACTCCTTGCGTCTAAGGACAGTGCTTTTTCATACCTTCCCCCATTATTTCATAGTTGTAAGCTGCTATCTGAAGAACCTCCCAGAAAGATATTACTTTGTCTCGTTGCTCCTTTAAAGCAGCATCACATTCATTTACTACTATGTTTTGTGTTTTAAAAAAATTAGTAAAAATGCTAAAAAAAAAAAAATCTCTTTTTATTCCTTTACATCGAATAAAATAAAATAAGAGTCACACCTGCACAATGGATGGTCATAGTCTCACAGCTGCTCAATTCCACTCCTCTGTCAGAGATGTAGAAGCCGTCTTTCTCCCCCGTTCTGCCTTTGTCCCATCTCAGATTGTCCCGACAGCCTTTCCTGTTCTTACACAGGTTCAGGGACAAATTCTTGATGTTTTGCCCACCGTCGTAACAAACGTGAGACGAGGGCATGGGTGGAGCGGTGGCGGCGTGGTGCAAGACCAGGTGCCCTCCACATGTGGTCGTCCACTCGACAGTGAGGACGAACAGTGAGGAAACGGCCAGCTGCTGGGTCAGCTCCCCATCTCGGCTGACGGAGGTTGTGGTGGTGAAGGTGGAGACTTCAGTGTAATTAGGTTTGATCCCAGAGTTGGGCCGGCTGGTGCTGAAGACACGGGGCAGAGTGGCGTGGTCTGCATCTAGAAAACAGACGTCGATAATGAAACTGAAGTTTTAGGATGAAACAATTATCAACAGGTTAATTAAGTCAAGTCATTTTATTTTCAAGTTGCAAAAAACACACTTGACTCTATGGAATTTCGAGTTTTAAAATTAGAATTCAAATTTAAATTATCCTCCTTAAAAACCCATATAACAAGGGTAAAAATGGAGGAATGTATAAACAGTCAATGTTATACTGAGTTTTTATTAAGTAAGGCAGAATATATTTTTACAAATATAAACCAAACTCGTTCCTGTAAAATTGACATTCAGTGTTTTGTCATTTGAAATCTTCACTTCATGATGATCGTTTAGTCATTGATAAATTCAGGGAAAAAGAAGAAAAAAAATAATAATTAAAAAAAAAAAAAATTTCCAGCTGAATTTGTGTGGAAACAATTTTTTTTTTTTGAAAATAAAATATAAAATATAAATAAATCATCTCATAAATGATGAAATCATGAAATGATCATTTAACTGACTTTACATTCAAACGCCCCCTTTTTGGTGAATTTTTATCATCCTAATCAAACACTTTACGTGTATTATAACTTTATATTTGTTTGTATGTTTTCATTTGACCTGATTTACTCTTTCAAATTACTGTTCAAATATAATAGTCATTGCAGTTGGATTTATGACACTTCTCTTACATCTCGAATAAACGTTTCAATTAAAAAAAACTGTTAGTTACCAAATGCTAATTAATTTTGTTAAGATGTAAGAAACGGTTAACTTGTGAGTGTGGCTTCGCTGTAAATCTATTTAAACGTGGTTGAAAATATAATATGGTTAGTGGGTGTTATTTTTGTATACGCAGTTTCTATTTTAACCACATTTACTCAGCTAAAATGTCGAAACGAGGAGGAAATATTAATAAGGTACTGGGTAATTTAGTTCACATACATTTTTAGATCATTTTAAATATTTAACCCTTTAGTTCAGGGGCGTCAAACTCAAATTCACAGTGGGCCATTATTAAAAACTGGGAACGTGTTATGGGCCAATATTTATTGAAAAATGTACGGCATTGAATCTGAAACATCCAAAACTTAATATTTCAAACACATGAGAAATTAAATTAGAAATCAGTGGTATTTGTTTCTTATTATGTCTCTTTATCTGTAGCCTTTCAAGTTCCTTTTTTCATGTAAATCTTTTTTTCACAGGCCACCAACAAAAAAAAAAAGAAAAAAAAATGTATCTGCATACTCCGCTAATACTACAAATCCCGTCAGTATATAGCTCCTATATACTGGCGGGCCAGCTCTAGTACACATTTGATGTGATCTCCCAGGCCAAATATAATTACACTGCGGGCCAGATTTGGACCCCGGGCCTGAGTTTGTCATGTGTGTCTTCATGTAATTTTTAAAAATAAAATGTATTTATTAATATTAATGAATTCAAGTCATTTCTAAATGCTCCTTATTACCTTCCAAGCTACTGTATATTTTCTATATTCTCAGCCACTTTTCTATTTCTAATACTCATTTATACATTTAAGTAAAGTGCAAATATAAATAATAATGTAATAAAAAAAAATAAAAAAAATATAAAAATATATATAGATTTATTTATATTGCTCTTTATACTGTATGTTGTTCCTGACCTCACCTGTCCTGGAGAAAAGGTTAAATCAGACAAACACAGAAAACAATATACAGACAAGTATTTAGTCACACGGGAATTTCACGAAACTGTAGTATTCTTTTCTCATGAGAACTTTCTACTCAAGCAATTCTGATTTTTTTTTTTTTTTTTTTTATTTTAACGTGACCTTTATTACCGCCAACTCCCCTTTATTCAGTGCCGCCGGGTTGGTGGTAACGCGTTTCATCAACCCGGGTTTCAAAGCTTCTGCAAACACAAGTGAAACTCTCTGCATGACTGAGAGCGGCGGCACGAAATGTTTAAGCTTGCTTTTTCTCTCTCTCTCTCTCTCTCTCTGTCTCTCTCTCTCTCTCTCAACTGACTCTCGTGACTTTTAAGAAATGTGTCAAAATGTATTAAACAATTGCCAGAGTTTTTGCTATGAGTTATGTGAGTAACATTTGACTTTGAGCCAACTTTGAAGAGAGTGCCTTTTAAGCTTTCATTTAGCCTTTGTTAAATAATCAAACAAAATGTTACACATTATGCACACGTTAAGCATAATTATCACTGTCTAAATAGTCAACTATATCGCTAATAAATATCAATTCTTACAAATGTCTAAAAAAAATGTATTTAAAATGCTTTTCATTCTCATTTTTATCAATTTTGGTTGAATGATCAAATGGCATTATCATTGCCTATGCAGATGATACAGATATTTATTCGTCAGCACCAAATATTGGTTTAGTCATTTAACATTATAACTTTATAGTCATTTAATTAATAAGAGGCCTATTTTTTATCAGTGACATGTTCACTACACTCGCCGCTGTACATCTTAAAACAATTTTAACAGATGATGAACTTATAATACGTCAAAATGTGCTCTACAAGAAGAAGAAAATCTTTTCTTTTCAAATCTGCTTGTAATTAATTTGGTATTTGCCTCCTGTGAACAGAAAGATGTTTAGCCACTCTATTCAAATCACTTCTGGAGTCTGTTTTGTTTATCATTTAAATTAGGGACTTTGGGTTTAAAGTGTATTTGACATAGCGTGTTTTACAGGACACGGTGATTTACAGGAACACATCTAACGCAGATTTGACTCCAAGCCAACTTTAAACGGCTTTTCTTACAGTACAAAAAAAGATGTTTCTGATGCTAACGACAACAAACTTCACAGTAAATAAGGCACAGTAGATTTCCCTCGCTTTTATCTCTTGAAACTCCTCCGGACCAAAGCCCAAGTTTTCCCTTCACGTTTGTCCTTAAAACAAAGCGAAGTTAATCTTGTGAATTTTAAATCATTTGTATTCTCCGTGTATAAAAATTTTAAAAAATGTGCATTTGTCACACAATAGCAATTTGAATTTTTTTTTAAAAATTGCATTTGTCACACAATAGCAATTTGAAAATATATATTTTCTGGTATATTATATTTTATTTTTGTTGACGCTTCTTTCTCAAGAACTAGCTTCGAAACTAAACCTGACCCAAATAACCTTGTAGAGCCTAAATTATTTAGTAGCAACAATTTAAACAACAAAGAAATGATCATTTCAGCTTTGAACGAACAGCTAAATCAATAAAATTAACAAATGCAGCCCTTGCATATTTGTAAATAAATGAGGATTCAATTAAATCTAGCTAGGAAAACTATTTCACTTAAACTGTTTGGCCACTTCAAATTTCAGTTCGCATAGGGATACGCTGTGGTTTCATAGTTTATCTATTTGTTGACACTGTCCATAAATTTTCAAAGAAACCGGTCTCACCAAACTCTGTTGACCATAACCAAATGAAATAACAAATAGACAATTGTATTCGTAAAACTTTTTTTTCTTTTTTAAATGTGTTCTATAAAATTAAAAATAAAGCAGCTTAACTGACTGTACCTACCACTACAAAAAGTAAAAATAATACATACAAATTAAGTTTAAATCCTCATAATCTGTTTTAGACGCAGACTGCTGTTGGCGCTGTTGGTTTCATATAACGTATTTCGCAGGGTTTATTTAAAGCAATGACACACCAGTGTGCCGTAAGAGATCATTTAGGTGCGCTGTAGAAAATTATCAAATTTCAATTAATTGGTCCAAATTGGCTATGAAAAAAATAATCAGAGCTGTTGAACATCTTTGTGAGTATCTTTCCTCAATTCCTGCCAGTATATCAGCATTGTCTTCAACTAAACAGGAGTACATTTTTAGTCGATTTAAACTAAAAAATTATTATATTTCATTCCTCTCCTTCCGCGGTAGTTCCGTTCCAAGACCGCAAAGTAGAGGCGAGATAGTTAGCGTTCCAAGACTGCGAAGTAGAGGCGAGTTATTATATTATTTACGCATATATTTACCCTTTACGAACCTCCCCCACACTGTTATTACCCTTTCCCACACAATTACAGTATATGCACAGCAGAGTTGTATAATCGTCTCCGTTTGGGCTTCTTAGGAGGCATCGCAGGGCATTAAATTAGGGTCAACTTTCACCAAACACAAGAGCACAAACGTTTTAGCAACGTACTATATACCGGTGGCGGACTGGCATGTGGAGATGCTGAGAGGTGCTACGTTGCATGAGCTAATCAGCGTGAGGAACAGAAGAGCGCGCTCAATACTGTGTTCGATGTCCTCTCTACTACCAGCGATGTCTTTTAGTTAATTTTTAGGTTTTTATTTAGGTTAGAAAACGTTTTTTATTACAAGAATAATGAAAATATTGGAAATTAAAAAAAAAAAATTACCGTAAAATACCACGATACTGTCGCGAGATTGGAATTTCAAAAATCCGCGGTGTACTGAGGGAGCAAAAGGAGAACCACGATATAGAGGAACGTTGTTTGTTGTTTTTAGTCGTGTGCCGTGGGATTTTTCCTGGTGATATATATGTGCCGTGGCATAAAAAGGTGGAAAAACACTGATTTAAAGGCACGCGGCGGGGCTGTTAGCAGCGCTGTCTACCGTGTGTTGGTCCAACCGGTCCAAGTCCACAAACACGAGGTATTGTGTGTCAGTCAAGAACTTTCTGGAAGATATTGAGGACTGTCACAGTAAAGTCACCGTTTTACTTCACAAGCAAAGGTAAGAGCTACACATGTAAAATTCGGCTGAAAAAGGAATAATTCATCTTAATCGACAAAATGTTTGTCTCGTTTTTTGTCTGCTATTGTGAATAGTCCAATTAGTACTTAGTGAGTGTGACTTGTGGATTAGCCAACTGCTAAATAAGAACACAGAAAATGCCCTGTAAAGATAATATAGGCATTCAAATATAATCCAAATTTTAACATGCTGTTTGTGAGTACAGTTTTTTTAAATAAATTCCCAATGCCCAGGGTTCTATTGCAATGCTTTAAGGCGCTGGTGTCAAACTAAGGCTCGGGGGCCAAATCTCGCTCGTGGTGCAATTATATTTGGCCCATGAGATCATATCAAACGTGTACCAGAGTTGGCCTGCCAGTATTTAGCCACTATATACTGGCAACTATATACTGGCAGGATTTGTAGTATTAGCGGTCTATGTGCTACATTATAGCACATACAATTTGTTTTGTTTTTTGTTGTCCTGTGAAAAATAGATTTTATTAAAAAGGAACTTCAAACACTACAGATAAAGAGACGCAATGAGAAACAAATACCACTGATGTGTGTTTTCTTTCTAATTTAGTTTCTCATGTGTTTATAACTTTGGTTGTTCCTGATTCAGTGTTTACGCAAAACTTAAGTTTGTTTGCATATGAAGAAATTGTACTAGAATTCTAATTGTAATTTAATTCTAATTACATATCTAGAGAAAAGGGAAAACATGCATAATTGCCGACAATTTTTTTATTGAGTTTGGCCCACGAATCCGTCACAGTTTTTAATTTTGGCCCACTGTGATTTTGAGTTTGACTGTTTGTCCTACTTTTTTGTTTAAAAGTTTTATCTATATAAAGTCATACAAAATTCCTAAACAACTCATATATTGTTCATTTGTTTTTAGAATTTTTTTTGTCCATACTCAATGTGAGCGTAAAACACTGCCTTTCTTTTGGAATAAGGAGAAACAGGATGTTGATTGGACTTCAGTTTACAGCTAGAAACCACTTATAAACTAAATATGCTTAGTAATCAAGCTGTATGGCCTGTGGGCATCATGCTCTAAAACAGCTCGGGATCTACCAGTAGATCTCAAAGGGAGTGGCTGGTAGATCCTGAGCAATTACAATTAAAGAAACAAAACAAAAAATTAAAAATGATAGATTTAATTCTATTTTAAGATGCTAATCACTAGCGCTAAAGTAAGGACCATAGAAGTATTGAGTCAAATGGCATTGTGCCATACAACTACAGCCATTTAATCAAAGTAGTAAATATATATTTATAGTTTTCAATGTAGGTAGATCACTTTACCTCGGTCATTTGAAAAGTAGCTCCCAGGCCGAAAAAGTGTGGACACCCTGCTCTAAAATATCTACATTTGTCTTCGGAATTCACGTGACATAAATATTGACCAAAATATTTAATTCATGCTTTCACAAAAAAGCATCTATCCATGGTCTCTAAATTGTATTGTCTCTAAAAGTACTAAAGAAGTAGATAAAGTTAGTTCAACGGTATCTAAATCGGTCGCTGATAAAGGTTCGCCCAAAATAGCTTAATATGAAATCGGTTGCTAAAGGTTCGCCCAAAATAGCTTAATATTAACATGAAGAGACGTTTGCTACTACTTTTCCCTTGCATGGAAAATTGAAACCAAAATAGTTTTAAATTTAACCAAAGGTGTATTTTGGGCTGGCGAAACAGACTTGAGGCTTATTTGTCATGAGATGTAACAAAAGGTCAGGGACAAGCCTATCGTTTTGTAGTGTTAAACAAGTACGTAAAACGTTTAGTTAAAACGATAATCTAGAATGTAGCTTCATATTAGTTAAAAGATAATTATACTGCAAAGACTCAGATATATGTTGGCCAAAATAAGGATAAACAGCTATGAAGTAGCCCAAACAATTAGAAAAATGTATTACAAACGTATGACACAAATAATCAAAAGTTGGCGAACCTATAGGTCACTCAAAGGTAAGGCAAAACTAAAAGGTAAAATAAAGATTGTTTATTTCAAGTGTGTTCTTTTGTGACGATAGTGTTAGTAAGACCTTCTTCAGAGCGATCTCACAGACGTAGTTTACTAATCATGGCTTTGTGGACAAAACTGAATACATCCGTACTTCTGCTACATTCAATTTTGAACTAACAACCTGCCATGTTAGAATGTGAATTAATATCTCCCGTCTCTGGCACTGAATATGAGTCGGCTGTCAAACAACAAAACAACTTAATAACAACTAAACGTTTTCGTCAATAGGTATATGGTGTAGTTTATGATTTATTTTTTTCGATAAACTTATTTGCCTCCGGCCTTCTTTATACTCTTACACTTAAACCGGCCTGAGGCATTCAACCATAAACCCTGCAATGTTCTGCACCAAAGCCCATATAAAAAGTTACAAAGTTTAAGCGACCAAATGCACAGGGTGTTGATATTATGCTGCGTTGTTTGGCCAGAACGTTATTGAGGTCACTTTAATTCACAGGAGTGCCTCGCCAACTTCTGTATACTAGGATGTAAAAACACCTTGTTCTTTCTATGGACTCCACAATTCACGTTGTGAAAGAGAAATGTAAGAGATAGAGTAGCAAACATCACACGTGATGTTGTTGTGTTTTTTAGTGATATCGGCTAGCTTTTACTTTACTGGCCAAATACAGTAATAAACAACAGGCCTTAAGTCACCTGATAGCTGTGGTAACATGCTCACAGTAGCAGGATGTCCTTTAGTCAAAAGTCGTCTTTTTTAGCTCTGACCTTTTGACCGAGACAAATCTGGTTCAACGAAGGATTGGGCCAAGATGTGGCCTGCAGCGGTTCAACGAAGAATTTTCAAAGGATTGGGCCAAGATGTGGCCTGCAGTTGGGATACAAGACACCAGACCGAAGACGAAGAATGATTAAACTTACGGGGACGAAGGACCACGTATAAAGCTGATTCAAAGTCATCTCAGTGTCACCACTTCTGACAGCCATACTGTTGCCAATCCTCGCCAGAATGTCAAATCAAAAGTTGGTTTTTGGGAGTGGGTGTTTCGACAGTAGTCTTCATGAGTCAAAGAACCATAAGCACTTACCACTGGTTGTGAAGAAAAGAGCCAAGAATGTTGCAAGAGTCCTGAAATCCATACCCGATAAAGGAGCGAGGAAGATGAGACGACTCCAATCACATCAAGACACTAACAAGAGAAAAAGTGATGGAAGAGGAAATGGTACACCCCCACCTTTCTTTCTGTCTCTCTCTCTCTCTCTCTCTCTCTCTCTCTCTCTCTCTCTCACTCTCGCCATTGAGTGAATCACTTCATCCACTCGTGCTGCTTGTGCAAAAAGTGCAGATTTCCTCCCTTCAAAGCAGGCTGTGTGAAGAAGGGGTAGAGAAGAAAGAAATGTTAAAGGAAGGAAGGAGGAGGAAGAGGTGAATAACTTTCGACATGCAGCAGCATCTGTCTCTCTGTCAGGAACAACACAATTTTTTGCTGCACAGAAAAAGGTCGACTGACGGTAAACTTTTTTTTTTTTGACAGTTTCGTATAATTTAGCTGTTTTTTATCGAGACTTTTTTGTTTGTTTGTTTGTTTTTTTCTTTGTGTTGCAACCCTTGTGTTAACATCATTTATTCTTAGGTTCAGTGAACAGATGATGTGCAGCAGTGTTGCCTAAAAAGTAGATCGCGATCTACTTATAGACCGCCATGGGAGTAGTGGTAGCTCATAAGCGATCGAAACAAGAAAAAGTGAAATATAAACCTAATTCTACTGTGTGTAGTAATAATCATATACAGTAATTGAATCATATTCAGCTATACAGCTGCATGCCTTCAATCAGTAGCCAAATCAATTTATATGTATTTAACGTTTTCAAAGTACCGTAGGTAGATCAATTATCCTGGTCATGTGCATAGAAGCTCCTACAGCCAGGGGCAGATCTTGGTAGATTTTCTTAAATTTATCAAGAAAATCAAATGTTTATTGCAATTGCAACCAGGACCTACTTTATGAAGTGACTTTACTGTGCAACAATATTTTCCAATGATGAGTGTAGTTTGTAGCATGTATTTAATTGAGAACATATAAACAAAGTTAATGCAACACGCTAACCTCCTTTCTTGAATGTATATTTTGTTGTTCATTCTGTTGTAGGACTCTTTGAAATGCAACGACAAGGACTCATTTTCATTTAGATCAACTTAAGTTTAATTATTCACAATCAACCCCACCTCCAAAAATGAAAAGAAAAGCAAAAAAAAGAAAGTATCTAGACTTAATCTACAATCGTCAGTATCATCATAGACCTCCTTTAATATCAGAATCAACAGATACACTCATTTGAATGGGATTTTTCTGTTCAATGTTGATAATCTAAGAAAACATCTCTGTTGTGCTTCTTTTAAAAACATTAACACTGTTGTTACTGTCACTGTTTTGTTGGGACACTCGAGTTTGACAAAACTTGTTGGAGGATATCGGTTCACTTATTGGAAGCAGCACAGTCTTGCAATGGTGCTTCCCAAAGTCAAACAGCAACGTTGTAGATTCTTAATTTTAGAACCATTAATAATTACTAGTCTTACTAGAGAGAATTTCCACAAGTCAATGTTTTGTGTTCTTAGTGGGGTATAGATGGCAACAGCCAATCAATGCATAGGAGGTAGATCACAGATAGTATAGAAAAAAATGGATGTAGTCTTTCGGTTGTGACAAAAATCCTCCTTTTGGAATACTGCGATTTGTGATTAGACGAATACACGGAACCAAATCTTTAAGTCTGAGATTATCCAGAAGTCCAATAACTCTCCTAACAGTACTCCCATATGGTGGTTATCTTATGTCACCTTGATCTAAGGGTGCATTAAGCAGAGCTCAACCTTAGAACATTTCTTTATATACTCGATGACAGAGGACAGTCTTTTTGCCGTTAACAAGCAAGCAAATCTTTAGCACGCTGCTTTAGCACACCTGACCATAGGCTCATGGTTTTGTTGCTCGTGAGCAAGCAGAACTTTTCTTGTGAGCAAGAAAATAGGACAGTTAGGTCATCGAAAGGTTACATAGCTTTGCAGATGTGCAAATAGTCTCGCGTGCATTTACGCCATCGCATAGCTCACTAATGTAGGATGTCTCTGTGCCTGCACAAGAAACATGTACACGTACTTAAGCCCCAAGGCTTCCAAATGACTTAACCAGCAATTAGAAAAAAAGAGAATTGTTGACCCCAAAATTTAGAATACGTCAGCTCCCCGTGTTTGAAGGTCAAGGAAAAAAAGAGAATTGCCGACCCCAAAATTTAGAATAAAATGTTAAGTGTAGCTCGTCAGCTCCCCGTGTTTGAAGGTCAAGTCTGTATTATTTTGTTATAACTAAATTTGGAGGCAGCTTAAATGTCTTACATATCTTATATACATCTATATGGTTAAAGTGGCAAATTATATATATATATATGGTCATTGTACCTATTTTCTCTCTATTATCTATTCTACTATCTCAACTTAACATTCAGCATAATACAACTGCAAAACTATTTGATTAACTGAGATAACTATTGGTGACTTGGGAGAATTCACTGATCCTTGACTTGAGAAGCACCATTTGCTGTGTATTTTTGTGTCAAGTGAAGGTTTAGACAGAAATCAAAAGGGGATCCTGAAAGATTTAAAGCCAGTGTTAAGAGCACCATGAAAAGACAGATAACATCGAGAGACCATTCATTCTTCATTACAACCAGTGTTGTAAAGACAACGTATTTACGAGATTTAAATGTATTTTTTTTATATATATATATCAACATAATGCGAATCCTGCTGACAGCCATCAGCTGAAACCATTTAAGACAAAAACAGTTTATAAATTAGGTTCAGGATCAGCCATAGAAGGGAATCATGGAAAGACAGATTTTAGCAACAAACCGCACTTAAAATAAAATCAGGACTCTCCGTTTTTAAGACCAAATGAGTAGTGTTCTTATACAAAGTGTTGTTGTGCAAGTTGTTTGTAAACAAGGAGTTGGCTTTTACCCCACAATTTATCTGGGGTATAATGTTAAACGGTGTCTTATTGCCTCAAAAGATGCTCAAAATATCATGACAAGTATTTTCAACATGTTTTCTAATGCGTTGTCACTGTTAGGCAATTAGATACTTAGTATAATTTAGGAGTGGCTTTAATCCATGGATCTAATGATTGGTGGAGCCAATAGCAGACCCAGGTCCTTCCTTTCTCTTTTCAACTTGATATTTATCTATCCAGATTTGGCTGTTATCTGTACAAAAGTGAAACCAACCTGTCCATGTTGCATGTCACTTGTTGGTATAATTAAAGTTTGTTAAAAAGAGAAAAAAAAAAAAAGAAGACACTTCCACTTGCCTACTGATAGTACTTGATGGCCTGCTTGTATTTGTTGTTAAGTGCTCTGATTGTTAGCCAAAATCTGTTTTCCATCACGTCTCTCTTCACAGCCAAGGTTGTGGTGAGAGTGAGTGTCCATGTCTTGGGTGGTTTATAGTACAGGGGCTCAAAGCCAGTGCTTACTATGTATCAGTCCGTCATACATCCATACTTAATAAAACCTGAACTATCCCTTTAACTGTGTAGTCACTTTACAGCTCTTGGTAATTATAATAAAGTGCTCTGAAACAGCTGAGAGAAGACGTAAAAGATAAAACAAGACTCGTGATATAACAGTTAGTTATAAGGAAGAGACCTTGTCTACTTCCTGAACTTCATTCAATTATCATCCATCAGTCACAAAACAACCAGATTTTCTTTGTATTGACTCGACTGACACAGAACTTATCGGCAATTTCTTTTTTTTTTTTTTTTTTTTTTTTTATATTTACTTTCCATTTAAACTATACACACTGCACATTTTCTTACTGAAAGTGTGACTTTGTTGAAATTGAACATTTTTCTTCTTCTGGTGATCATTGTCGAGCATCAGTTTATGTTGGCCGAGTAGATGCAGGGTGCAGGAGGAGGATCAAAGCAATGATGTTGATAGAGGTGGTGGTGGTGAGGAGAAAAAAAAAAAAACATCATGTAAAACTAAATAGAAAATTGGGCTAAGGAGGCGAACAACAAGAGAGTCCAGCAGGTTTCATCTAGTCAGATTTTATCCAACAATTATTTAGCCTCAAATGGCTTTTACTTTACAACAAAGAACCAAAAATTCTTGGTAAAGATTAAAATTGCTTTTGCAATCAGGTGTGAATCAAGGTTCCACACTGTGCGCAACTTTGCTGCATTGTTGTGAGTCAATAATGATCAATGAGCAAGAACTCCAAAAATTTACAATATTGAAATAGTTGTGTTGGTTCTGAGGTGCATAACAATTTTTTCTTTTATTAGGAACAACACGTTCCTTCTTTCTTTCAAAACAGTGAAACTGACTGGACCATGATGCTGATCTTTGAAGGACATCTGCCGTAAGGTTATTTTGAGTGGGGAGTGCACTTGTGTGTTTTAGAGATTTTTTTTTCTGATTGCCAGATAGCAACACACACATACACACACGCACATGCACACACTCAATGACGTAGTGAGGGATAGACGGTGACGGAGGAGACAGAAGATGGAGGGAACATACAGGTATGAAGAGTCGGATACGACACAACATAACCACCTGAGACTAGTGTGAGGGAGTTGGGTTTGATGGAGAGAAGGCGCAGGAAAGAGACGGACAGAGAGATGGAATGGAGTCATATTTAGAAAGAGAGAAATAGTGCAACAAAGAGAAGTAAAGCAACACCTCTTAGATCTTGGAGATGGAGGCGGGAGAAAGAGTAAGGGAGAAAAGACAGAGGGATAAGTAGTAAAGGCCTTTGCACGTATGGCAGCCTTCTGTTTTTGCACATTAGAGAAATTAACTTAGACCAATGTGAACTTGCAAATCAGAAAAAAAAAAAAGAAAAAAGGATTGACTTAAAATTAGTCACGTGAACGCACTCCTCAAAGGGGAATCAATTGGGGTACTGTTTGTTGTGGATCAGGCAGTAGGCATAAAAAGGCCTCGGTGGTTGCATACCTCAGTCTGTTAGCGATATTATGTCAAATGACACAGGACACTACACTTTTTTTTTTTTTTTGTATGTGAAATCCTACGCCTCTATGAAGAGGTTCACAGGAGCCAGGAATATCTTGCTTTCTTTTTGGCCTCAAAGGACTTTCTGATTCATCAAGAAACAACAATTGTGTTATGTAGCCCTGATAAAAGAATTGAGGACATTAACTATTTTAATAAAACTTTAACCTTTATTTAACACAACGTGGCCCAAAACATATCTTTGGCCAATGTACTAATGTGTTCCCGGCATCTATGTTGAGGAGAAGATGTCACAATTTTACCAACTAGAATAATTCCGGATTGGTCATCTTAAGTAAATTTTTTACTCGGCAGTGTAAGCCAGATCTTTGTTGTTACTTGAATAGCTCTTGACGACAGAAATCTTACTACAATGCAATGGGAAGATCCATTCATTCGTTTCCCTTATTAGTCTCCTGTATTAACATCAAGCGGAGACTTTTGAAAATGTACCTGGCTTAAAAAGGAAACTTGTCAGAACCATGGCATCCTTGGAGCACTTGTTCTTTTTACCACGGCATCCTTGGAGCACTTGTTCTTTTTAAAACTTTTTCTGTGAAGCGTACAAAAATCCATAGTGAAGAGGTGAAGCTGTCATCTCAAAAATATCTTTAAACTTTTATGTTAATTTGCTTGATGTGCAAAGGCCTTTAGGAAGAGGGGACGTGAGAGGGAGGCTGAGGGAGGGAAAAGATGAGACGGAAAGAAGTGAGACTCAGGAGCAAGAGCGCTTTCAGGAGTACGGCTGTGGAACTCCATTTCCTGGTCTGTACACGGGCCTCCCTGTCGGTGACTGAGAACTGGAGTAGCTGGGCACTGCTGGGTAGCTGTACCCGCCGTAACTGTAGGACGCCGGGTAAGGGGTTTGACCACTCTGGGGATGGCTTGGTGTGTATTGGCCAAATGCTGACCCTGGGTGCGGAGTTGGAAATGATGGCTGAGTAGGGTAAGGGCAGACGGGTTGTGAAGCTGGAGGCCCGAAAGCAGGCCTGGGGCCAGAGTAGCCACCTGCTGGGGTAAAAGGTGAACTGGAACTTGGATATGGGGTAAAATGTGATGGAGGGTTAACCGGGCCTACGGCAGCTGCTGCTACAGGGGGCTGGTTGGGTGTAGTGACGGGGTAGGGGCTGTAATGAAGACCTGCAGATGAACAGGACGGCTGAGATGCATTTTGGTAAGTGGAGGACTGAGGTTTGGAGTTCGGCTGCTGCTGATTTGTCGTTGTTGCCGTCGTCGTTGGTGGATTCCATGGCGTGGCAGCAGGGTCCTGGCCGATGCCTGCTGGCGATGATGCCATCGTGGTGTTGGGAATACCCTCGTTGCTTTGTCGCAACATTTCCTGAAATTTCTCAATTCGCACTCGTCTTTTGTGAGCTAGTGAGCGCAGGGAAAGGAAGCGGTCCAGGAATGAGTCCAGAGGCAGAGAGCCCTCCAGGAACTCATCAGCTAGGGCCTGCAAAAACAAATTCACCAAGACTGTTATCAACAAGCTGCAGCTTTAAATTCCTTAAGAGAGTGTCTTTTATATTGGTATAATACTGACAATTTTGAGTGATTGGTGAAGAGTTTCTTACTGTCAAACACTTCTTTGTCTGAATTTTACTTTGTCTATTTCTACTGCCAATAATTGAATTATACAATTGTTGATACCTAATCAAAGACTTTTCAAATGCAACATAACTCTAGATTTCCCTTCAGTCAATCAGTTGCAGATATATGATTCTAAATCTTTTGCTGTTTGCTGTTAAAAGTCAAATGCAGTGGACAAATTAAAAGAGGGAACCAATAAAGATCTACTTGGAGTAGTTGGACCATGTCCTTTTTTATATGGCTTTATAAACTGCCATATAAATAAAGAACTGCCTTTAAAGGGTACTGACCTCTGACTCTGCCTCTGTTTTGCCTCCCTCTGTCTGTAGTCTGGAGAACAACGCTTCAGGAGAGACCTGACCTGCAATACCGTCTAAAGAAGACAAGTAAGTATTATGCTTTCGGTATACAACAGGAAAAACAGGCTGTCCTGTTATTGAAGCTGACAGACAGATGGCATATGAACAGTGACATCAGAATTATCTTACTGGAAACTGTTATGCAAACAAAGCCCTGCATGACCTTATCATGTAAAAGTAAACAGAAATGTATCTCTGATTAAGTTTTTTTAAAAGTCAAAAAAAAAAAAAAATGACAACAGTTCCCCTGTGCGGGATCTTTAGAATTTAATTTGATCTAACCTAAACATGACAAGTAGAAAATTTGCACGAATAATAGTACATTTAAGAGCTTCTGCTTAAAGGTGAGACACCAACCTCTGATGGAGCAGTGTTGTCTGTAGGCTTCTCTCGTAGCCTCTAACTGAGAGTATTTCTCCACCAGCACTTCTTTCTGGGCCTCCAGACGAGGCTTCACATCCAAGTTCTGTTCTGCGAGGCTGCGATTGGATGCCAGTGCCATCTCTCTCTCTAGCTGGATGTTCTGGATCTAGTGTAAAAGAACCATTATCTTGTTAAAATGTGATCCCTTTAACACTTATTAGCTTCAGCTGTCAAAAGTAAATTCAAATATTTTAAATAGTTCCAGGAGAGACCTGTTTGCAATCTATGGGCCTGAACACTTGGACAGAAGATACAGAACATAGGTGTGAGCTGATTTTAACTGCTTAAAATAACATAACATGCCAGTTAAAGTTCAGACTAGATCAGGTACAGTAGCATTTTGTAGTTGCTTATGAAATGAAAAGCTATGGCATTGTTTTCATAGCAAAAAAAAAAAAAAAAAGGAAATGAAAAGCCATGGCATTGTTTTCATAGCAAAAAAAGATAAAGCTTATTTCAAAATAAATAGATAAAACTTTATTACTGTACAACTTTTGTTTTCCAAAGACATCACATAGTGCTCTTTGGCTCTGCCATCAGAATGTGACTGTGATTTGTGAAATATGCAAGAGCAAATAAACCAGTCAACCTCTGGCCTTGCATTTTACATTGAAATGTCATTTCACAGAAAAATAACGGGAAAGACTGGTTAGACTCAACTATTAAGTGGGCTACACAACAAGCAGACTGCATAAAGCCTGAAGACTATGTTAGAGCACTATGCAGAGTCATGCTCAGTCACTCAGCAACCTGATATACAAGAGTCCAGTTTGGCAGTTAACTAAGACTTTCCAGCTTGCACACACTATCTGGCAGCTATCCTGATAGTGTCTCTTGTGACCACTTGAAATACCATCTGAAACCTAGTACCTAAACCATGCATCTATAGGTAACAGTCATTTTTAACCTGTTGTGAATAAGTAGTAATTTCACAACTACTTTGAGAATCTACAAAATGATCATCCATGTTATCAGAAAAAAAAAAATTACCAAATTAGACATTCATAAGACAAATGGGTCATTACACCCGTTGTAAGAACCTTTCCATCACATGAAAAACAAAACAAGTGTAGCTCCCATTTTATTATGAAAGCAAAATTATGTTGTTTTGCTGTCAACTGGTAAACAATACAGTGCCCCTGCATAGACTAATCTAACACCATGGACCTTCAGTACTGGATGTAAACAGGTATGTTTTTAGTAACTACTTGTCTTTCCTTTGATTTTAGCCACAGTGATGCAACAACACAGGCCTTCATGACTGTTCTCTTCACATAATTTGCTATTAGGGCTGAGTCTGGTCTCCAAGCCACAGTGGAAATGAGTGTAAAATGGAAAGTAAAGCTTTAATACCACAAAATATTACCTCATCTGACTCCAGAGCCATAGACTCCACCCTTTCCTGGTTGTCCAGGAGCTCCTGTAGCTCTGATTGGCTCAGGTCCTGGAGTTTCTCCATTTGATTTGCCAGAGTGGCTGTCCGTCACACAAGGAAACCAGGAAATTAGTTCATACAGAAAACACAAAGTGTCCAGTCAGAGGCCCTTATTGTTTTTAAAGCCATTAATAGCCACAAGACATGGGGCAGCTTTGTTTTTTTTCAGCTAGAAATGTTGAATACAAATTTAAAAGGATGAATCTAAACAATTAAAATAGATTTAATTAACAGAACTGTATTAAAAAACAGCCTATGAATTAATACCTTATACCTTTTTTTATGTCTAATTATAATGAATACACTGTGACTTACTGGTTCACCTGTGAGTTGTTGTTCAGGGCTACATAGATAAATGTCAATTGATTGAATGGTGAATTTTGGTATTTGATTTATGTTTACTTAAATCTGTTATGAATTGAATTGAAAATGAAAAAGCAGACTTGTTTTGGAGAAACCTATGATTAAATGACCATTACAGATGTCCATGTTTTATTTTATAGGGCATGTACACCTAAACTGGGCGTACAGTGTCCATTACATTAACAGCATGTACCAGAAACTAGAACCAGAAACCAATGCTAATACATTCTCTTACAATTCTGTTAAGTATTTGTTATCTGCCATTCAAAGCAGTAGAAAAGCATTAGTCACTTAACCCCAACTTGACTGCGGGTCAATGTCTAAATTTAAAGCAGGAAGGTGCGATAGGCAATTTCCGGGTATCCTTAAGTAGAACATCCACATTATATCAATTTCTGCCAAACCCCGTAGACGTAGTAGGTCGTAGTTTACGTTAAGTATAGTCCTCGAAATGTAAAATACCCGTGTCCAATACCAGCGAAGCAGCGTTTGGCTATATTTCTGGTACAGAATTAATTGCAAGCATGACAAGTGACTTTTTGTCAACGTGTTGTGACATTTGTAGTTGTGTTGTTTTCAACACCACGTGATTAGTGTTTTTGAAAGTGTATATGAAGTTATCTGTGTGTGTATGTGTATACACTATTGTTAAGAACCACCGTCAAAAAAATGAACACAACAAAAAAAAAACAGGTTTGAAACAGAAAGGCTAACAGCTAACTAGCATATCTGTAGTGATGGGAGCAGAGAATTTAAAGCGGAGCTGACTGAGTAAAAACAGGCCACAGGGCAGAAGATTTTCTTTAATAGACTAAGAATATATCAAGTTATGGGGAAAAATACAGGAGTCGGTACTTACACGATGCTAGCAAACCAGATCTTGTCCGAAAAGGCGCTGCAGCGACATCCAACACACTGTCCACTGACAGCTGACGTGACACGGCCTCGGGATTTCCGACCTGCCCCTAACACGCTCTTACCACAGACTCGGTAAAATTGTTCGGAAACACAGAAAACGTCTGATTCGATCTCGTGGTTCCGCGTTGACGGAACTATATGTGATGACAGCAGCAGTCGGTATGATCGCAATGTCAGACAGGAAGGCAGGCACTCAGAGCCACCGCCGTCAACTTCTGCCGAGGGAAGCCCGGCGGTTTGATCAAAAACAACAGCCCACTGTGACGCCAAGCCCAGAGTCCCAGCCGCCACCAACTACCTTTTCTATATCCCGGTGGGTCTTACCTAATTTGACAGTCAATCAGATTCGACACAGCGATTCAGAAATGCTATGAATATTCGTTAAAAATGTAGAAAGTTTCGCTTCACACTAACAGAAGCCACCGCCATTTTGAGAACTGTCAACGTTGTTTTCAGGGGGTGGGGAGGTGAAAAAGTAAATTTTACCACGCTAACAATTTCCTGAATTCGAACACGTCACTTTATGCACGCCGTTAAACATTCTATAGTTAAAGAAATCGTTGGCTTTCCAGTTACGTTTCTTTTGCCTTGGTTGGTTTTCTTGTAGTTTCATCCCCCCAAAAGGCTGTTTAATGGTTCGTTCCAGTTTTCAGCTGATATAAGGGAAAGCCCTTCACTACAGTGACTAACGTTCCAGCTGCAGCGGCCAGCATACCTGCTAACTAAAATAAGAAACCTGAAAACACATTTAGCCTGTGACGTGTGACATTACCACATTAAAGTGACATGTTCTTATTTTAATTTTGTTTATTAAGAAACTTGAGTTTAAACATCATGGAACTTTATGTATTGTGTGACAAAAGACCTTGTTGTGCATGTCTTCCTAAAATATACCAGGATACATTTTATTTGTCAGAGGTCGGTTTTGGTGTCTTAATTTGCAACACTTTACCTGCTGTTAGTATTTTATTTTTATTTTTTGCATTGCTTCAATTCCTTCAATTCCGTTGTACCCCCAAGTAGGACAATGAAGTCTATTCTATTCTTATGATCAGGATTTTCTTAGCTTGAAATGTTTGTGTTAAACACAAACATGTATTATTTTTTGAGGCAACACACCAAAGATAAAGACACCCAGTGTGATGAATTTCATGTTCACATGGTGGCCACACTATAAATGCATATTGAAGAAATTGAATCTTTGTCATTTGTGCATTTTCTCTTGACAAGTCAAGTGATGTACTTTTAGTTCAACCTGAATTTTGTTTTGATACAAACCCTAATAGTCTTCACTCAGTATTTCTTTTAAAGCAATAAATACAGGATAATTTAATGGCCTATTCCCTAAACTTCAGCCAGTTCCAGTCCTTCTCTGACTTGGACTGATTTTTACATTAAGGCCCATGGTAAAATCAGCATTACTTTTACGACCCTCCCGTTGTCCTACGCATTTTGTGCACACCCAGCGTCATTGCAACTGGTTTGCATCTTGTCCTAGAATCAGAGTATAAGGGAAAAGTTGGCACAAGCCGTGCAGTACAGGAGCACAGACACACACACACACACAAAGGCATCAGCCTCCAGGTCACCTAGACCCAAAGGAAAACACTAGTGTTAAGTTTGCCTGAGTTTTGGCCCAGGGTCTAATTACAAGATAAGGACAGCTTACAATCCATGAATAATATGTTCACAGTATATGAAGACCAAATTAAAGAGCACTTCTGCGTCTCAAATTTTATTAGGAAACAATTAGTCCACATTTATAGTATTGAGTAAAACAGAGATACTAACCAAATCGTTATATTCATTTTTTTTTTTTTTTGCATTTGATGTGCCATTAAAAAAAAATCCAAATCTTACAAAATTACAAAATGCTATGTACATATCACTTCCCATCTTATTTCGTTTATAACCGCAGTCCACAAATGTAATGTTTCAAACTAACTATTGTATCCCTACATCTCTCCAAGCGTGGTTGATCTTTTTTGGCAGTTTGTTGTCTGATCATGTTATTTGACCGAGTCCTAGAGCCATACTGTCTGAAATCTCATTACACTGAGGTCAGTAGTTAGTGCTGTAAAAATAAAGGTGTTTTCATAGCAATATAAGTATAATACAAGTAAATCACCAACTTAACTTTAACCAAAACTGATAAGAAAGCGGAAGAGAAGAAATAGTGATTTGCAGAGTTTGTGTATGGAAGCGAACAGAAATAGTGATTTGCAGAGTTTGTGTACGTTTTCCGGTGTGGAGCTTCATATTTATGACTATTTAAGCCGTTTCACAAATTCTCCACTAGAGGGTGGCCTTAGCCAAACTCATCCTCAATCTTAGCGCTGATCCATCAGTTGTGTTGTTTTTTTTTATAAGCCACCTATAAGCTGTCTTTGCAGAATCACTTTTTGTAAGAGTGAGTTACTCCGTTTTGAGTGCTCTAGGCAGAATCACTTTTTGTAAGAGTGACAGTGAGTTACTCCGTTTTGAGTGCTCTAATGGCAGATGCAGACATGAGAAGAAGGAGAAACACAGCCCCACAGGCATCAAGCAGTAACAGTAAAATAATACTCCTGCTGATGGCCTGAAAGACAGAATCAAACAATAAATACACGTGATTTAATACAGTGACTTATTCACATCCATACTGTACAGAAGTTAACACTGTCTCCAACTCCTGACAGCTACAAATAAGGTCTAAAACCAAAATGTAAGTTATTGTCAATAGAACATGTTGGCTTTCACAAAAAAGAGGAAGATAGTCTTTCCATGTAATTGATTTTGAATATCCACAACCCATGTTTTTTATCTAACTAAAACCTTTATCTAACTAACAATAACTAAGATATCTTTTAGTTAGCTTAGGGATCCTCTAAAATGCTTCAATCCAAAAAAAGGGGAACATTTCTTACGCTTATTTATCGACTAAACAAAATAAATAAAAACTTACCCGAAGGAATTCTCCAGGACATTTATAAGGCCCTTCCTCGTAATCAGAAGGAACAGGCAAACATAGCTCATCTTCAAATTTTATAGTGTTGAAGCTGTAGCAGTACAAGCCCAAGGCAATCAGCGCCACCAGGAGACCCACTAAATTACCGCAGGCGCATCCCTGAATCTGTAAAACATCAACAAGCACAACAAGTAGTCACAGATTTACACACATTTCTATATATTTAACCACACGCCTTTAGGTTGACAGAAAGCAGAGGGACATTTTAGCTTAGTACAATTGAATTCTACAAGTTTCGCTTATTTAGGAAAATCTTAAACCTGTTCTTTAGATAATGGTTGCTCCTTGTCCCAATCCCTTTCTAGGTAGATTTTAAGATTTGTGTTACATTCTTACTGACTCTAGGCCAGTCAATGGCTGACAGTGATGTATGTATGTTTTTCAACTGGCACCATGTGGCTGGAATAAGGAATTCCTGGTCCTTCAGATTTAACTAGTTTAGTTCTTTATTAAGCTTTGGTGAACAGTTGTCAGATGCATTTCTCTTAATCGCTAATGTGCAAGATCCTTTCTGGATTGTCTTCCTGGACTGGAGGGAGACTTGGACATCCTATTTTACAATTATTTGCTTAGTTTTTGAGATGCTTAGTTTTAGATGTCCGATCTTAGCTTTTTGCCGATATTGTCCAAACACTTCATTTCCGATTCCGATACCAACCGATACCGATGTAGCGGTTGATATCGGTGGTTGAGGAAGTTATGTGCCGCCTGCTCACTAAGGTGATGGTCTTAAACAGTGGTTCTCAATTATTTTCTGCTGCGCACCCCTTAGGGGACCGAAGCCCCTACCCCAACCGCCCACCCCAGAATTGACATACTATTGAGCGCCTGGTAATATTTATTTATCTGTACAAACCACTGCATGAGTTGCTGGCACCAGGATTCTGCATAAAATCCACTGATAATTAAAATAGATTAATTCTTTATATGACATAATTATACTAATACCTGGCCAATAATAACAGTTCGGTCGATGGGGCATCCCTACTTGATATCAAACTAAGATACAGATAAGTCTTCTGTTAACTGGGCTGAGTTAAATAGTTTAATGGGAAACTACTTCACACCCTTCAAACTTGTTTTTCTTTTTTTTTTTGTCATCATGCAGTTTCTGTGATTATATTGTCTAAAATGTATTATACCGCGATGTAAGTGAATGACTTACCAAAGACCTGCTGGGTTTCCTTTCACTAGCCATCGTAAATGACCCTCCTGCTATAGTCTGAAAAGCAAACACAGTGATAGGCTGTTTCGCCGTTCCATTTTAACTTTGTAAAGTTCTTTTGTGACCTTTACAAACTGTCCAAATTAAGAATGCCTTATTGAGATTGTTATTGTTATTAAGAGTTCTGGATTTAAATTCAGTTAACTTAAAGGCTAACAAATATATGAGAATTGTTATCTATGGTTGTGTAAACAGTCCTTTTGGTACTTTTGTAGTAAGTTTCTTTCGATTTGCGTTTGAAACCAGTTGGTATACAGTTGGTCTTTGGCTATGTCTATGAAATACTTACCAAAGCTCCTAAGACCAGTGGTAACATAAAGAATTTCGAAAAACTTGGATCTGCATAAAAAAGAGGTACAGCCAGCACTATCTGAAACAGCCCCAACAGAATAGTCACCACCTACAAACAGAGATCTGGTGTCAGGGTCTCCTGGGTGATTTGGTTTAGACGTTTGACATTAGTTCATCTAGTCGTGCTCGTGTCAGGATCTTACCGCTGCAACTTCACCGTCGAACCAGGCAGCAAGATGATTTAACCTAGGTCCAGCTGTTGGTACTGACCCTTCAGTCTGCATTTTGCCTTCAGACTGGAAACCAAAGGAGGACACAGGAGACAGATATTAGAATTGGTAACAATTTAGATTTTTGAGTTAAAAAGGCTATGGCTAGTGTAAAACAGTTTGTAGTGCTCTCCATAAGACACTAAGCCTGCAAAAATGTTCTCTACAGTAGATTCCTTGGGTGACCCTGATTGTGGCTCTGTTGAAACTGAGGACAGACATCCGGGGGTCAGAAATGCAATGCCCTTTGCCATGTCTTACATAACTCATGACTTATGTCATGGATACCACATTATTTTCCATAACTGAGCTAAGAAGGCACGTTTATGAACAGAGCAATATTGTCATGTACAGTATATTCTCCCATAACTTTCCCCAAGGGAATAATAAAGTCCTTTCTTAATTTCTATCTATCCATCTATCCATCCATCCGTCCATTCATCCATCCATTGTGTCGGTGCACAGCAGACATAAGCGCAGTTAGAAACAAAATCAACACCTCATATTATGTAGAAATTATCAAGGGTATCGCAGGATATCAGAGTGGGAAAACAGCCAATTTAGGCAACATCCGTGCCAGATTTACACAATAGCATCACTGTCTGATTCTGCTAAGGATTGGGAAATAGTGACAGAAAATGAGGCAGTGAAAGAGACGAAAAGGGGAACAGAAAGAGCTTATCAAAACCATATGTCAAAAACCTTTTAGGGTGGACAGGAATGCTGCTAGACGAGAAGCAGATGTGGGGGGAATAGGACAAGAGGGGGAACAGAGCGATGAGGCAAGATGGAGAGGCAGAGAGGGGAGGTGATGGGGGTGGGAGGGCCGATGATGAAATAAACAACTGAAAGGCCCAGCAGAGGTGAACGGAACATTTATCAACGGGGTTGGTTTTTACTCACTCCGGTTCGCTCATACACGCTCATCTGTCAACTCCATTACTTTTAATCACTGTATCTGCGGGTTCGTCAGCACAGCTGTGTGTACTTTGGATAGGGATTCAGTTCAACATGTACTAGACAGAAATAACTGTCCAAACTAAGAATGTGTTATTCGGCTGCGTGACGAACCTGGATTTAAATTCTGTGAACTAAAACGCTAATATATGCTAGCTTTCATGGTGGTTACGAAGCATTATCTGAAGTAAATATAGGTGGTATGCATAGCTAACGCAGCTATTTACACCTTAAGGCAGGGGGTGTCAAACTCATTTTCACCGGGGGCCACATTAGCAATACAGTTCCATTTGAAGGGCCAGTTGTAAATGGAAGACTGTATAGATTAGGGGTCCCCAACCCCTGGTCCGTGGACCAGTACCAGGTCTGTACTAATGGGTGGTACTGGCTGACCAATCCTTGGAACAAAAAAGGTTAGTGACCGCTGGTATAGATGTAACTACTCCATAACAGACTAATACATGTTTCTGCAATTTATTATTATTATTATTATTTGATTGATTATAAAAACGTAATTTCTTAGGTAAAGAAACTCTGCTGCATGGACTTTACTAAATGCTTTTTAAGCTCCCGCGGGCCACACGAAATGGCTTGGCGGGCCGCATTTGGCCCCCGGGCCTTGAGTTTGACACGTATGCCTTAAGGTATATACTGTAGGTACATATATATGGAAATAGGCATTTAGCCTCACAAATATGTGGATATTTGTTAGCTATAGTTGAATAGAAAGTCATTTTGGTACATGCAGAAGACATTGGGGAAAAAATGGGAACACAGAGGATGCACTGGTTTCAATGTACAAACAGGGAAGGGACATAAACAGGTATCAACAGAGACATGGCACTCTTGACCATACGCACAGGTACAACCTTTGTCTTTGATCAGGCAGGCGAACCCATAGCTATCCTAGAGTCATGCTGTTCTAGGCCTATCACGTTGGAGGAACTCCCATGATGCACTGAGCACTCTATTTACACAAACACGTAAATCACACTCTCATTATAATAACCTTGTTTGTACCGTCTCCAAAAATGTTATTACTCTTACTAAAATTACTCTTTTTATGTAACACTACACTGTTTTGTTTGGGTTTTTTTTTTTGTGGTTTTTTTTACAACTTGTCCCCTCCCAACTCCCTGGCCCAATTGTGAATTAAGGCATTGCAATTAAAATTGAGTACACACATTGGAAATATACAGTTTATTACACTAAACGTACAGTACTTACAATATTTTATAAGTATATTTTGCAGTGTCAAATTTCACGTTCTTATACGTAAAACATGTACCAGATGGTAGTTCGACTGGAGGCAGTGTTTACCTCAAATGCAAATATTTTTACGTGTCTTCCTATTTAAAACAATTTTTTTTTAATGTTTGACTCACTTGTTCAGTGAAATGAACTTTTTTTTTTGCAAAAACAATTTACATCATTTTGCAAAGCACTGAAAGGACGAGCCTTGTATAAAAACACGTACGAACACTTCAGTTCTAGCAGGATTTTACAGCGGTAGATAGTGGGTAGTAAAGTATAAATCTGAACATGCTTGGAATTTCTGCTAACAGATGAACAGCGATAGTCTCTACATAGTAGTGGTCTTTACCGTTTTTCTTTTCTTTTGAACACAGATTGTCAAACAGCAGCGACTCGGCATGCTTACCTTGGAGGCCTGTGATATGTCGAGAACAGCAGGAGGGTGTGGGCATCACACTCGCCTCTCTGGTGTACCCCCCCAAAAAAACAAACTTTTCACGTGAAGTAAATGTCGACAACAAGAAGATGTCGCTCGGGTGAAAAACTGACTGAAACAGGACGTGAAGGAGGAGCTCTGGGAAATCTGGGGCCCCCGGACCCAGAACAATCTCTCTCTCTCTCTCTCTCTCTCTGTCTCTCTCTCAGATTGGACAGGGAGGTGCATAAAAAAATCTCCACTGCTCGACACAATCATTTCGAGGACAACAATCCACTTTTTCCTGGGGACGAGCGGTAAAAACAGGTATGGGAGTTATTAATGTTTTCCCAATTTCAAAAACATACACACACTTATAGGGACACTGTGTGGAAGTTAGCGCTGATAATGAATTCGCGATGTTCCGGGGTCATTTAAGTGAAGGCGCACGGAACTGTGCCTTGGCACGGACGTTCAAGTTTTGCGCAATATCTTCCGTCCGTGCGCAATGAAAGCAACGTATTCCCGCCGTTTTGCTTCGATGAAGACGTTAGAAAAAAAAAATAAACGTTGTCTTTACTATCAACACTATTTCCATCGTCTAAGCTGCAATTTTGAACCGTGACGCGCCCGAGCGGGACCAGGCTGGACTTGGAACATTCTAGTCCTTTTTTTTTTTATATTTAAATTGTGTTTTTCTGCTTCTCCAGGTTTGTGCCAAAATGCTCTTAAACATCTGTTATACATCTGTATCCCTTTATAATATTTACTGCAAGACCATTGGAAGCTCCTCCAACGTAGGTCGTTTATAGTCTTGAACACTCTGACAGGCAGGTGGCAAGCCATGATGTCTCAGAGGAGTGGGGGGGGCACAGTGCCATTGCAGTGGGCGGTGACGTGGATAAAATGAATGAATGAATGAAACGATACGCAGCATATTGTCAAATACTGTAAATTCTCAACAAGAGACTGGCAAAAAAAAATTAATATCTCATAATAATACTTTTTAATTCTCACTCTCGTTTTGCTTTCGACCGTGTCTGACGACAAAATATGTGTGCAAATAGCTCAAGACTCCATCTAATGAACATGTCAGCGGCTATTGTCACGGTGTAACCCTGAGATCCTCACTGACAGTAACACAACCACGAAACAAACCACAGATCTTTGAGGTCTGTTTCACTGTCTTGTCTTCAGGTGATGGCGGTAGCCGTCTCCAGAGATCTGACGGTGCAGGTGGTAGAGGATGTTAATGCTGCCAAGCTGACAGACAGACAGCAAGCTCTGCGTGCGTCCATCCAGAAAGGAGAGCCGAAATGTCTTGGGGTGAGTGTTTGGGGGGGAAAAAAAGGGGGGGGGGGGGAGGGATTGCCCTCTTTAACAGAAACACAGCGACCTGTGCTGCCCTGAAGCTGAGTAATGTGAGGAGAGCTTAACATGTACATTTTTAGGGGTACAGGAGTAGCAGATACTGGCACACAAGCCTAGAGTGCCCTCTAGCGGCTGTCAGTGTGAAAATAACAAACATGTAAAATGATATATTTTATTGTATAAGTCGCACCTGAGTATGAAAAAAAAAAAGTGTGACTTATAGTCCAGAATACACGGTACAAATTTCGACAGACTAACCAAGCAGAACGTCCAAAAATGAGAACAATCTTTAAGCGTAGCGTAGGAAATAAGCTGAACTTTATACATGCTTCACAGCTGTGGTGATCCTTTTCATGGTAGAAAATGCAAGCTCAGCACAGGACTGAGATTTTGTTTTTAAAAAAAAAGATTCTAAAAGCATGACAAAGTTTGAGAGTTTCCAAGAATGTCAAAATCTCCCAGATTTCATATCCCAGTGGTGAAAGAAAATACTTTGTCAACCTCACGTCGAAGCCTTGATCTGAACAGCGAGGAGGCGTCTAAGGATCAAAGCAGGAAGCGAGGGTACGGTGTTAATAACAGTTTTCATAAATAACCTGACACTGGGCACGGGTTTAAAAGTCAGCAATAAAATTTAAAACCTGTTGTTAAAGCAGCAGGTTAGTGGCGTTGGCTCATCAAAGTTGAGTTACAGCCAGTATTTTTTCTAGAACAGTAGTAGCTGTAGCTCAGTGGGCTGGATGCTCCTCCTTCTACAGGTCAGTGGGTGAGGGCTTTGATCCAGCTGTGTGCTGTTGTGTCTCTGCGATATCATAAATTCAACATCTTCATATAGTTCAGCCATTTCAGTTCAAGTTTGAAGTCTGGATTTATGAAGAGGGCTGGACCAGGAAGAACACCTGCTGTAAAAACTAAAAAACTAAAAAACATGTGATTTAGCCGTTAGCAGCTTCCTGATCCTTGTTCATCATTTGGAAACAGATTTCCTTATATATTTATATATTTCTTTATATATTTATATATTCATAAAATGACTAATCAGATAAACAGAGGTGAAAAGTAACAAATTACAGTTACTCAAGGTACTGTAACTGAGTAGTTGTTGTAAGTCGTTTGTCATTTTTCAATTAGTTTTGGAAATAGGTCATTTTACTTTTACTTACTTAATTTTGACTTTGAGTATATTACTTTGCTACATTTAAAAAAGAACTCCTTACTGAGTAAAAAATAAAATGCAGAGAATAACAATCTGCGTTAACTGAAAGAAACTTGCATGGGTGTGCGGGTTTTCCCACGATGTCACTGTAGCCAGATAACGTTGACTAAGAGACGGGCTCTAGCCTGTCGTTGGATGATGGCCGGTGCTGAACAAAAAGGGGATTGCTAAGCAGAGTGGAGCAGATGACTCAGAAAGGCCATATCTCAGACAGATCTTTGCTTTCAAATGCAAACAAGTCTTTATCATGCGATGCAAAATGCGCCTGTCCCGGCGGACAGAGCTGTCACTGTGCATAAGTGGCTTGAATTTGCAGTTCAAATGGATCATAGAAGTCTCAACTCACGTCACTGGATTTGTTGTTTAAAAACAAGACTGGATGTATGATTTGTCCTTTTTGCATCAAGTAATTTAATAAAAAAAAAAAAAGAATTTTTTTTATTTAAATTAAGTTTTTTTTTCTTACTTTTACTCAAGTAGATTTTTAGATGGGTATATTTGCTTTTACTTGAGATAATTTAGGCAAAGCAGAAATAATAAATAATAATTTATTATTATCTATAATAATAAATAATAATATAATATAATATAATAATATGTAATAAATATAATATATAATGTATATTTATATATTATATAGTATATATTATATACTATATAATATTTAAATTAATGGTATTAAGGCCCAAGCCAATTATTATTTATTATATTATCTTAAAATTTTATTTATTACATATATTATATATTATATAATATATACGTAATAAATACAATTATTATTTATTATATTATCTTAAAATTGTATTTATTACATATATATTATATAACATATAATATATATGTAATAAATAAAATAATTAATAATAATGTTTGTTGTTTCTTTTAAAAAAGCTTTTTTTGCGTGTGTGTAACGTTGCGCTTCATCACTGAGGCCAATTAGATGACCATGAATGATGTTTTGAAACAGCGTCTGTGTGTGTTTTTTGAACAGGTGAGTCAGGTGATGATGGGCATCATGGTCATGTCTTACTCCATTCCACTGCATGTGACTGAGTTTACCGAAGTGGTGACACTGGGAGTCCCCTGGTGGAGCGGCCTGATGGTGAAGATCCACTTAATATCTGCTCCCACCAAAACATGGGGGGGGGAAAACATTATTTGTTATTATTATTTCTTATGTTATTATTATTCATATGAATGTGTTTGTGTTGTCAGTTTGTCACAGCAGGTGTGCTCACCATCATCCTGGACAAATACTGCTCCGTTAAGATTGTGAGTCCAATAAAAAAAAAAAAAAAACACAAGAGATTTACTGCTCACCTAAATTCACCCTCCTCTTGTATTGTTTCTTTTTTTGTGTTTGTTTTCTCACGTTTTTCCAAGAAAAAAAACATCAACCTGAAAGTAACAACTTCTTTAAAAATGACTAAAGATTTTCTGTAATGTCACACAGTGTTTGAAATATGACATTTTTCATTTTAATTATAATATTTTCTATTTTCTTTCTTAGTTATTTAAAAGCAAAACTCTATTTTTCCTGTGTTTTATGCTTTATGTCGTTTGTTACGTTTACATTTTGCATCTTGCTCGTCATGAAAATAATAATCTGTTGAGGCTGCTCTGTTCATTTTTTAATCCTATGTTTTTGGGTTTTTTTTTTTTAAACAAAATTCTGCTCCGACTTTATTGAAACATTTTATGCTTGTGTTTGTCCAGCTGCAGCTCTGTTTGACTGTGAGTCTTCTGTCCATTGTCACATCGCTGATGGCCGTGTCCATCTACGCTGTGGACGTGACCAGGAACCCTGTGATTCCCTGTGTCATAACACACAGGTACAACGGAGACACTCATGACACGTCATCTTGTGAGGACCAACACTTCACCATGGTGGGTGTCACTGTCGAGCACCGTCTAACACGGGGGGTGTCAAACATACGGCCCGCAGTCCAAACACGGTCCGTTAGCGGGGTCGATCCGATATGCTTGATTAATTCTTAAAAAATGCAACAAACACTTCATATTCATGATGCTTTGTAAAAATTCTATTTCATGAAATATGAAGATTGTCTTATCTTATTCTCATTTATTGGTAATTATGATGTGATTGTACTGGTTCGGCCCACATGACATCTTATTAGGACTCTATGGTTTCCATAGTCTTGAGGTTAGCATGCCTTCCTCGGAAGCTGACAACAGGTAGTCCTGGGTTTGACTCAAAGTTCAAATTATTATTATTATTATCTAACACACGTGTCAAACTCAGGCCCGGGGGCCAAATGTGGCCCGCTGTGTAATTATATTTGGCCGACCATTTTTTTTTTTACACATACATTTTGTTTTGTTTTTTGTTGGCCTGTGAAAAATAGATTTACATTAAAAAGGAACTACTAGGAAAAGGCTACAGATAAAGGGACATCCCTTACCAATAAGAAATAAATACCAATATAATATTAAGCTTTGTTTGTTCTAGAGTCGATGTTTACGCAAACTGTTGTCTTTTTTTTTTTTTGAATTTGAAACCTCGTTACAGACATGCTCCCATTTAAATGCTGATAAATAAAAGCTTGTGTCAGAAAGTAATTAAGGCTTGGGCCATAATACCATTCAAATCACTGCACCATTGCAGTTTTAAGAGTAGTAACACAGTAGTCTTCATTGGTGTCAGAATCTGCTCAAGGTGTTTTTGTGTCTCCTTCAACAGAAGCTGAGCAATGGAATAAAGTCGACCCTCCTCCTCTTCTCTCTGGTGCAGTCGGTCATCTCTGCCATCGTCTGCTTCCTCCTCTACAGAAACAGACAAAACTTCCAAATGTACTCCGTAAGTTTTTAACATGAGGTTCTTCTTTTTTCTAGACCACAGGTCCCCAACTACTAGACCAGGGACGAGCACCAGGCTGTGTATCGTTCGGTAGCAAAATAAAACCAAAAAAACATTTATTTGGATTGTTTTCCAATCCGGTGGTATTTTATTCTGAAAAGCAATCACGTCCACCCGCTCCTGTTTTCAACGCTAGGTCTAATGATGAGGCAGCAGAAAAACTGACCTACCTGACTTTTGAACTGTGTCCCCTGACCGTTGTCTCCGCGGTCAAGACCACTGGTACTTCAGGACAGTGTTTACTGGCGATATTTGATTGGATTTGATTTTGCGGAGTTGCCTTTGTCGGCCCTCAATGCAGACTTTCAAGAAAATGTGGGACATAACGCAAAAAAAATCAACAAAGTTTCCTGACACTCTCTGAGGATCTGTCTTACAGATTCAGAGATTTGTTGTTTCTGGAAATTGAACTTTTTTCAATTGGTTCATAAAACACGTGAAACACAAGACCACCAACAAACATGATTAAGAGCCGTCAAATCAGGGTTTAATCATTCAAATTTAAAAAAAGTGCAATTATGTTAATTAAGTGTGCAAATGAATTGCATTTATTGTGCATGGTTTCAAAGAGCGGCTGTAGTCTAGCGTGATGGTCACTGTTGAAATTCAATACTTTTGCTGACTTCCTTTGCCTTGTTTTTGCATGCTCTTGCCTCCACTGGTGCAGGGATATGAAGAGCAGAACAAAATCTGGGGCTTGCAGCCATTGATTTGCTGTGTGCTTAATGGACTGAGCAGCCATGTATCATGTAGCATGTGACCTTTGGTGCTCGTAAACCAGGTCCTGATCTTTGAACGTCAATCAGTGTGTGTGGAAAAAGCCGGCCATGTATGTTGCAGTTTCTACATTATTACTTAAGAAAATCATCATCGTCATTTTCAGAGTCGAAGAAGCTCCACAAAAATAAAAGGTGAAATAGATACTTGGTCCCAATATACACTATTAACACACATACAAATACTCAGCTAACCATTAACATTGACGTACAGAAGCCAATAACATACACGGTGCCAATGACAGTCAGTTTAAAATATACATACACAGTCACTCGCGTATGTCAAACTCAAAAGTGCGCAGGCCAAACCTGGGCCGATAAGGGCTTAACGTGCATGTCGTTGATTTAGGTATAAAAGACTTATAGAGCAGGCGTGGGCTCGCGGGCCACAATTGGTCCTAAAATTGAACAGGGGGGGCCGGGTCAGGAGCAGAGAGATGGAGCATTCATGTGAACCAAGAGTAAAAAAAAAAAAAGTAAGAGTCATGCATAAAGGCTAAAATGCTTTTCTATGCCATCTATTGGGGAAATGTGGGTATTGCAGGGAAAAGGCAGAAGTATAATGATAATATAGATAAATTATATAATTTAAAAAATATGGCGGGCCAGATTAAAAAGCTAAATGGAGTATATAGACTGTGTTTTCATTTTGAGCCCGTTGAGTGATTCAGTTTGACACCCCTGCATTAACTACGAGTTAATTGAAAGGTGTCTTGTGACGTGACTTTTGAATGGTGGATGTGTCAGTGTAGTCTTTTATTTTATCGAGGTGATAAATACTCCAGGGTGGAGGCAGCTTCATAGAACACTCCTCCTCCCTCGCATTCCTCGGGTTTGATGCTAAAGACTCACACTTACGGCTCTATGGCTCCCCCGCATTCACTATCAGGCCTGGGTTGTTCATGTGAAACATCTGGCAGCCATGTTGTCACTACCAGTTTGTCCTGGGCTACTTCTCAAAAGGTGGGGCATTTCACTACGTCCCCATGGGGGGACGTGCTGATGTGCCGGGAGTGACGAGGAGGGGTTGGGCGTGAGAGGCTTCCGGTGGAATATAGAACGCGGAGCGACACAGAAGTGTGCCGCTGCTGTAATGCTTGAAAAAAAAAAAAACATTCTCAAAAGTATTTTCAATTCGTGGGTGGGCGCGCCTGAAACTTTTCCTCGCCCTGGGGGAGGCATGACCGAAAAGAATTGAGAACCGCTGTCTCTGTGGAGCCTTTGAGCTGCTGATAACATTCATGTTTTGCGTACATGACGCCACACTTTCCAATGTGTGTGTGTGTGTGCACTGAATGTTTTTTTGTTTTTTTTTGCACCCCTCAAACGTCGTGCATTTCTTTCCAAATTCCACCAGCCTGAGCTGTTTGTGCTTGTATATGAAACATCTGCAGTTAAGCACAAACAGCTGAGGCTCCTCCACAACCCCGAGGAGATGAAGAGGGAGAACACATCAGAGCTGGGAACACAAACAGAAACAAAACTCCCTCTGTTCTGACATGCTATATCAACAGTGATAATAGACTCCAGATCAACAGGCACAGTCGGCCTCAGGAAACTCTGGGAGGAAAAAAAACATTCAGCCTACTCTACTATGTCTACATCTACTATGTTATATATAAAAAAAAATCTAAACATATCGAATTGACCAGGTTTATAACTGACAGTGTAGCTTAAGCTAATACGTAATATTTAGTCTAAAGCTAAAATTTGACCTGCAGGAAAAGCAAGGAAAAAGAACTACTTGTTAAATATAAATCTGAACAATATTCATAAAAGGACATGACAGTTGTTAAACTTTTTTGACTCTGAGGTGATTTTGTTATTTTTTTTGTTTTTTTTTTTTTGTTTATTTTTTTTTATTTTTTTTTTTTTTTTTTCATCAACATTAATGAGCAAGTTTTTTTTTTTACCAGATAATAAAATTCACATGGCACAGGAACACATTACAACTAGGGATGTCCAATAATATCGGTATATTATCGGCCCGATGTTAGCATATTTTGTAGTATCTATAAGATATTGTTAAAATTGTTTAACGCCCCAGCGATAGACCAGTCAGATGCCTCGGTGCTCTGAAGAACTTTTATTGAAACACGTTCGCAGTAACTCGTTCTAAACCCCGTTATTGCTCTCAACCCAGCTTCTCCAAAAACGCCCTTTCCTCATCTCACACTCTCCTTACTTCCTCGTACACACACACGCACTCTTACCACGCCTCTTCACTCCCCCTCCCATACCCGTAACTGTTAACTCCTTCATAATGTAGCGGGGCGGTAGAATGAGACACAGGCCGTTTTGATGTGATCAGAAAGCGGTTTATTATCTGACGTAACGCCTTTGTGGGATTTTTCGGATCGTGAGTTTACAGTGACATTGATACTATATTGATACTGTCGCTGTAGCAAGCAAACGTATAATATGTTTTACATATATTTTAAAGAAAAATATAGCAATATAGCATTTATATTCTGGCGGGCCAGCTCTAATACACATTTGATATGATCTTGCGGACAAAATATTAATTACACCACGGTCCAGATTTGGCCCACGCCCCTGAGTTTGACACCTGTGCTAAATAGTGTAATGATTTCACTGATTCAGCCCTGTAAGGACTGTGATGTGTTGAGGAAGCACCGACAATTGCAGCTCATTATTACCCTGTGTCCAGTGGTGATTGATGGAACTGCTTCATGGATGGTTTAAATGCAGGGAGAAAATTCTTTTTACAGAGAGTATTGACATCGCTCTCTCTCTCTCTCTGTGTCTCTCACTCTCTCACTAAATACTTACAGTCTCTCCCTTTCTCCTCCTCTCTTTTCGATAGTCTCTCACTGCGGCCACCTCTGACACACTCATTGGACCAAACCTGCACTGATCACTCACTGGAGCCACAGAGCCGATCGGTCAGGACGTGTGCCTGGAGTTGTCGTCATCCTTGACCTTTGTTTTGGCAGTGATGAGCTGATGTTCATGTATGTGTATGTGCGTTTGTGTGAATGAGTACATGTGCCGGGTATGTGCGGGGGTGGGAGAGAACACGATATAAAGTATTTTGTGCACTGATTTTTTTTTTTTTTTTTAAGTTTACACGCTTTTACATTTTTTTTGTGTGTTAATCCTTGTACCATTTAACAAAAAATAAAAATCATATATCCAGATATGGTATATAAAATTTACACATACAGTAAGGTGTCAGTGTGTTGTATTTTTTTGTATTACTATATATTTTTTCTGAAATTTCCTTGACAACAAAACACAAAAACAATGCTAAAATTAAGAAACATTAAACCTGCTAGAATTCTGCATCAGACCAGAGTTTGCTTTTACGAAATTGTAATGGGATATTTTTAATGAATACATGTATTATTATTTATTTTGAATACAAAGTTAAACACAAAGTAAGCCAGAATTATTCCAAATAATTCGTGTTTGTTAAAATCATTGCTGTGGAGCTGCTTTTTGATACTTTGTCCAGCAGAGGGCAGTCTCCTCCACCCCCCTCCTCCATATGCACAGCTAACTTTTTTCCACATCCTGTAGGAGGAACTTCTCTCTCCT